TCACAATGCTTCTTGCAGGAAGCGCAGTATGAGGCATGCATCCCACCTCTAGCACTGAACTTCCCTACAGGCTGCAGACGAGCATGGGATGACACATTTGATAAGGTGGGCTGGCAGGCCAAAGCTTTAATCAGTGGCAGCGCAAACCTTCCCTTCTAGAATTTGCAAAAGTAATTGTCTGGACTCCTTCCTCTCCCACTGTAAAGAAGCGTTGGATTGAAAATTCCAGGGGGAACCACTGTGTATTTGGTGTCAGTGCAGTCAATGCTTTGACAAAAAACTGTCTAGGACTTCAGACAGAGACCTGGATTCTGAGTTAAAGGAAAGTCAGTGGTACTGTTGTGTGACACCTGGGGGTACAGTGGGAGTGGTTGCTCCTCTGTGCTCTAGAGCTGGCATTCTCATCCTGGCACTGCTAACATTTTGGGCTGGGTAACTCTGGTGTGGGCTGTCCTGTGTACTGTAGGATGTTTAGCAGCATCCCAAACCTCTGCCCACTAGGGACCAGTGGCACTTTCCTCCCAGGTTGTGACAACCAAAAATGTCTCCAGACATTGCCAAATGTCCCCTGGAGGGCAATGACACCCCCCACATCCACTGCACTAGAGTAACAAACATTATGTTCAATTCTGGTGCCCTGTAAAACTGTGGTCACTTGTTTACTCTGAGTACTTGATGATTTAAGTGCAGGACAGAGAGGTAGAAAGAAGGCAGTGTTTCTTCACCTTTTCCTTGGTTGACTCCATCACAAGAGGCAGAGTGACATATTGGCTAAGAGTGTCAGCTTTCAGGCATCAGGTCTTTTTAACATGTATAATCTATCAATTTGGGAAGCTTATTTAATTTTTCTGGATCTCAGTTTTCAGCATCTGTAAAATACAAATACTAATGCCTACTTCTTAAGTTGTGGACTAAACTAGATGTTGAAAATCAACTCCAGGTACAGTGCCTGGATATAGTAGATGTCTTTGTCTGTTCCTGCTGCTGTAACATAATACCATAAACTGGGTGGCTCAGAAGCAACAGAAATTTATGTGTCACAGTTCGCGAGGCTGAGAAATCCAAGATCAAGGCAACAGCATTTTTGGTGTCTGGTGAGGGAGGGCCTGCTTTCTGGTTCATAGATGTCACCTTCTTGCTGTGTCCTTACATGGTGGAAGGGACTAGCTAGTTCTGTGTGGTCTCTATAAGGGCACTAATTCCATTCATGAGTGTTTGTCCTTGTGATCTAATCACCCCAAAGGCCCAACTTCTAATGTCATCCCCTTGGGGTTTAGGATTTCAAAATACGAATTTTGGAAGGACACAGATATTTAAAACATTACAGTAGGCATTCAATAAGTAGTGGCTATTATTTTTGAGTATTTAAGAATGTATTCTACAATTTTTTTCAGTACTAAAAGGGAAACTTATTTAGGGTAAATGTGTACATTAATAAAAAAGAAAGATCTCAAATCAACAATCACCTTTACACCTTAAGAAACTAGAAAATGAAGAGAAACTAAACCCAGAGCTAGCAAAGGAAGTAGATAATAAAAATTAGAGTATGGATTAAAAAAAATAGAATCTAGAAAACAATAGAGACAATCAATGAAACCAAAAGTTGGTACTTTGAAAAGATCCACAAAATTGACAAACATTTACCTAGATGGACTAAAAAAAAGAGAGAAGACTCAAATAACTAAAATCAGAAGTGAAAGATGGGTCATTACAACTAAATTTACAGAAATCAAAAGGATTATAAGAGATACTATGAATAATTGTTGGTCCACAAATTAGATTGTCTAGATGAAATGAATAAATTCCTAGAAACATACCACCTTCCAAAACTGAATTATGAAAAAACAGAGTTTTAACAGAACTATAGCTTGTAATGTGCCAATTGCTCAATTTTTTTTCATATTTTAAAATCAATAATAATTCTTTTATATGATCGAACTTTAAACATGTTTAAATTTCTCTAATTCTCTCCCTCTCCCTCTTTCTTACACTTAATTTGTTTACATAAGGGTCCAAACAAGTTTTGCTTATTGCATTGGTTGTTGTGTCATCTGTCTCAAGTTTCTTTTAATCTATTGGTTACCCCTTTATCTAATTTTTTACCCTTTACCCCTTAAAGTTTCCCAAGGTCTGGATTTGCTGGCTCCATTCCAGTAGTGTCATTTAACATGTTACAATATCCCCTGCATTTTTTGATGATTGGTTGCTGGATCCTGAGGCTTGGTCTCACTCAGGTTAGATTTGGCTTCAGAGGTGCATGTTCTTACTGCAGGAGGCCCGTTATGTCTGATCATCTCCTTTTTTTTTTTTTAAAGATGACCAGTAAGGGGATCTCAACCCTTGCCTTGGTGTTATCAGCACCGCACTCTCCAAGTGAGCCATGGGCCAGCCCTGATCATCTCCTTTTGACATTAGCAGTCATTGATGATCATTTGCTAGATCCATTATTTCAATAGGGGTTTGCAAAATACCATATTCTAATTATTTTATTCCTTCTTTATACATTAGCTGGGATAATTCAAGACAAAAATGTTCCCTCTTCAGCTATTTATGGTTACCCCAAGGAACAATTCATATGGGAAAGACAGGATAAATGCTTGACTCTTCCCTTTTTCTTACTAGTTTTAGAAAAATGAATTGTTTCCCTCTCATCTTCCAAAGAGACTGAGAGTTTGTTTGCTTTTGTTTCATTGTCCTTATGGTTTTTGGTGTTGGCAAGATAGATTTAGTTTCTTTCTCTTTCTCATTTGCATTTTTGTTTACCATTGGGTTTGTTCTTTCTTGTGTATTCATGGTAATGATTATCATTTTCTGGATTCCAGATGCAGGACTCCCTTGAGGATTTCTTGCAGGGCTGATCATGTGGTGGTGAATTCCTATAGCTTTTGTTTGTCGGGAAAATACACTATTTCTCCCTCATTTCTGAAGGATAGCCTTGCTGGGTATAGTATTCTTGGCTGGCAGTTTTTTCTTCTAGTATTTTGAATATATCATCCCATTTTCTTCTGGTCTGTAGAGCATCTGTTGAGAAGTCAGCTGCTGTTAGTCTGATAAGGGCTCCCTTATAGGTGACTTGATGCTTTTCTATTGCTTATTTTAAGATTCTCTCTTCCTCTTTGAGCTTTGCCAGTTTGACTATAGTGTGTTCTTGGAGACTATCTTTTTGGGTTGGATCTGTTTGGGGATCTCTGAGCCTCCTGGATCTGAAGGTGTGTGTCTCTCCCTATTGCTGGGAAGTTTTCCATTATTATTTTTTTGAGTAGGTTTTCCATGCCTTTTCCTTTCTCCTTTGAATGTTTGTGCACTTAAGGTTGTCTGCTAGCTCTCTTAGATTTTCTTCATTTTTAAAAATTCTTTTTCCTCTTTTTTGTCCACCTGGATAATTTCAAAAAGACTGTCTTCAAGATCAGAAATTCTTTCTTCTGCATGTTCAAGCCTGCTGCTTAAGCTATCAGTTGTGTTTTTTTATTTCATTGAGTGAATCTTTCAGTTCTGTGAGTTCTGCTACATTCTTTTTTAAGGTATTAATCTCTGTGTAAATTTCTTGCTTCGTCTCCTGGATTTTTTTTTCTTGTCTCATTATGTTGTCTAACTAAGTATTCTTGTATCTCAGTGAGTTTTCATAAGATTGTTGCTTGGAATTCCTTTTCAGTCATTTCAAGGGATCCCTGCTCTACAGGGTCTGGTATTTGAGAATTACTGTATTCTTTTGGTGGTGACATATTTTCTTGGATTTTTATATTTCTGGTATCTCTACATTGATGTCTGGTCATCTGGTAGAGCAGTTGCTCCTTCTATTACTCCGAAGTGGGCTTTGAGGAGAGAGACATCTTCTTTTTCTAGTTTCTGCTGGTAACTCTCCTTGTGTCAGTGCAGTTGAGTGTCTGGTGGACTGCCTGCATGGCATCTGTGGCTACTGCTGTGGCGTCAAGCCACTTTTGTGGTAACCATAGCTGTGGTGGTGGCTATGATGGGCCACCTGCCTCCACAAGTTTTAAGCAAATTAGAATTTTTAAAAAAAAGTTAGTAGTAATAGGTGCTATTGCTACCTAAAATAGTAATGAAGCAGTTAATTTCCATTGAATTACAATTTATTGTATAAACATATATTGAGTTCCTACTATATACTAGGTATTATGCTAAACTCAGGAATAAAAAAAATTAATAAATCATAATCCCTGCCAGTAAATATTCAATATACAGATTTAGCCACATAAATAGATCAAATCATGTTCATCAAAATAGAGCCACCGTTTACTGAAAAAACTCAAAACGAAATGGTCTATGTGTTGTAATAGGGTGTAACATTCGTCTTAGTGTATGTAAATATGAATTCACTTTATTATTTCTTAACTCTTTCCTTTCCCAATAAAAACTATTTTTTATTCAAGTTTTGTGATCCTCTGATTTAGCCACTGTTGTGTTCTGTAGCGTTCTCTGCTCCTATTTAATACACATTTCAGCTGGTCCAAAATCTAAGTTCCTGCTGGTTATGTTTTTATAAACAGAAAAGGGATGCTTATTTTAAGTGATGTGTTCATTACAGAAATTTTGAAAAACTGTAGAACAGTATACAGAATAGTAAACTATATTTTTATCCCCATCAGAAATAATTATATAGCTATCTTAACATCTGTCTTTCTAGTCTTTTTT